ATCAAATGACCGATTTAGGGTAACATCAAATACAATTATCAAAAAAGATGTCAAATTTACGAAAATTTATCCATACACCTATGGCAGGTTTGATTCACATCTGATACAACTGCCAGTACATCTAACTTGTTTTAGGAAAAGAGAGAACATTGCGGCATCTGACACTATTAAAAAAAACAAAAAGAAGAGTAAAGCAGTTGACTACACACCCCTAAAGGAAGATGGCTTACTGAGGTATTCATTTTAAATTTGACAAAAATGTACGCAGTAATTTTGTACATGCGAAAAATTTAATACAATGTATCATAAAAAGTAAAATCACAAAAATACTGAACTCCGAGGAAAATTCAATCGGAAAGTCCCTAATCACATGGCAAAATCAAATGACAAAACACATCAAAAACGAATTGACAACAACTGTCATCTTCCTGACTTGGTACAGGCATTTTCAAATGTAGAAAATGGTGGATTGAACCTGGTTTTATAGCGCTAAACCACTCACTTTGTACGACAGTCTCATCAAATTCCGTTATAATTACGATGCTATTTTTTTAACCATCACTTTGCATCCCGTGATTAAGTTTTTAAAATTCTATTTAACAAAAGAAATTTTTCCTTTCATATTTTTTTCTTCTAAAAAACAGGAAAACTATTCTGTTCCAGACTATGTCAAACTATTTTCTATGATAGATATATAGTTTTAAATCAAAGAAATGTTGTGGATTTATTAATTGAGTGCTACTAATTATATTATGCTGGTTATTTTACTGAAGGAGGACATTCACATTGTTATGTGTATATTTTTGTTCATTTTAAGGGATAATTTGATAACAGAAATTTTGAACTGAAAAAAAATAAAGCAATGTAATTTGCAACAGAAAACATGAGATTTAGGCGTGAAAACCTGAAAAAAAAAGTAATCGAGAGCTGGAAAATCAATTCACAGAGGAATTAAATCAAAATGAAAGGATTGAGAAAGAAATAAAGACACATTTTATTTCATTATAACTATTCAGTTATATTTTTCCCAGGAACTATATTTTATTATAATTATAACTAATCAGTTATATTTTTCCAGGGCACAAATGGGAGAAAAAAACTGTTCTGTACCAAGGAAGTGGCGAAAATTTTTATAAATTGTTTAAACTGATATAAAATTTTGAAATTTGAAAATTATATGAGCTTCAATACGGATTTAATGCACCATTTCATGCAGTGCAATGTACTTGGCGAGGAAAGGTGGATGATTTATTCTGTCCGTATATTTACCTCTACAGGTCAAGAATTTTATCTTATTACGAAGTTAAAAACACAACAATGGTTAGACTATAAGAGCTATACCCCTTTATTTTGAAATTACAAGCTAAATGAAACTATTTTAATGTAAATAAATGAAAGATATTGTGATGTCAAAACCGTGTCACTTGAAATTAGTTTTGGGTTCCTTAGATTTTATATTGAACTTTAAAAGTATACATTTAATGATTGTTTTGAAAATTAAATAACATATCTTTAGCAAGAACAGAAAACTGATTATGCCTTTACTTTTTATAACACACGTAACTATACATTGTATACAAGTTTGTTTTAAGTATTTACAAATTATAACTAATATTTGAATTTGCAGATTCATTTGAAATTGCTGTAATGAAGTAAAAGTTAAGTTTAGTCACGTCCAATGTAGAGAGTGAGGATCAGGGAGAAACCAAGATAAATAGCCCTGTCAATATCAGGCCAGTCCAGACAAAATGTAGGACAATTAAAAGAACTCAAAAATATGACAGTATTCAAGATGGTAACAAATGTATTTATATATTTGTTTAGTATTTGATATTAATCATTTGGTTGATGCTTTGTATGCAATTTATGTAAAAGCCTTTTAAAAATTTGGCACCAAAGTAAAAAAAGTTGATGCGGTTGACCTTCTGAAGAAGATCTGTTGAAATAAATTGATCAATCTAGATTTCAAAAGAAAGACAACAATTTTTAAACAATTTTTTTTGGTCTTAAGTTCACTTTTGAAAAATCATGTATAGATTGATTGATTGATTGATTGTTGGTTGCTTAACGTCCAGTGGCAAATATTTCATGCATATTCAGGACGAGAACAAATTAACAATACATACAATAGGTAGGTTCTGTAATAGGGGCTTCCGGGATTAAGGTCGGAGAAATTTAGACTGGCACGGGAAATGAGGGTATATTCATGGATAGATTATTTTGTTTGTTAGTAGAAATTCTTTTGTGACCTGTGGTCTAGTTTGATGGAGTAAAAACAGTACAGCCTGTTGACTTAAAAAATGTTTATAACTTTATTGGCAAGTCATTTCTTTTATGTATATTTTTTCAGAAGACTCGGATCATGAAGATCATGAAGAACCTACATGTACATCTAAAAAGGTGTCAAAACTGTCAGTGCCGCCAATGTTATCATCACTATTAAACAGAAGTTTGACAGGAGAAAATACAAGGCCATCAACAACATCAGCAATAATATTTGCTGCCTCTATGTGGCATTTAAGAGAATTAATATTTGAAAACTGTGTTTAACAATAATATCAGTATTATCATCACATTTTTAAGTTTGTCTATTTTCTTAATTCAGATGCTTCTCTGAAAATGGTATAACTGAATTTGATAATTAACCCCTTAACATATAAGTTTGTGTGTTGTCACTGTTAGTAATGTTATTAATTTAAACTGTTTATTATTAAAAAACAAACGATGATTGCAAGTTTTAGCAATACAATATTTTAAATAATTATTTATTTACAGTCGTAAAAAAACTTTTGGACACAAGATTAACGAAAGACTTTTTGCTGACCATATGTGAGGATATTCGTTTGAATGCCTCAGCATTCCTCACTCTCAGAGACAAAAGTTTCCGATGAGGTAAGGACATCACAAACTACATACTATCAAAAGTATAGTTTTATAAAAAAAAAATCATTGACCTTTAATTAGTCTGAATATTATACGAATACCATAAATATTGTAACGTAAATCACCAATGAAATTACTGAATGTGACTTTCAATTATTGCAAACTTTTTAATCTATTAAAACATCACAATAGTTGCTTAATTTACTTTATAACAGTTGGATGATTTTATTTTTATTTCAGATAATTAATGCATATATGACCATACTTCTGAGAGTTAAGAAGGTATGCTTTCTTCTCCAGAAGTGACAATGTGCAAAAATGATCAAGAACAGCCAGAAATATCGAAACCTTTATGGATTTGAAATACATAACTTCACAACAGTAAAAGAGAAACATGACCAATAGAAGTATAAAAATTCTGAAGAGTTAAATTGGACATTTTGAAGAGAGTTGAAGACAACAACTGTCATCTTCATTTAAACATGATGCTGGTATGTGCTTTCGGGTTATTTCAATTTACAAAAAAGAAATATTACCGAGTTTGAATTGTCTTTTACAGTGATTGATTATTTGATCTATATAGAGAAAGCTCAGCTAGATTAAAGGTCTACTGTAATAATTTAAAATTGTTCTTTGTTGTTTGATATCATAAGAGTCAGATGAAAGCTTCATGAGCCAAAACAATATTCAAAGCAATTATTGTTGGCTGACAGCACCATATGTTCTACATTAATAAGTATGTGCTTCAATAAAAGCATCACAAAACCAAAATTCAGGTCGTAGGCCTGTACACTTAAAATGTTACAATCCAGCGCAAGTATAAGCAGACATATAATAAATATTCTTTCCAAATATAAAAATTACAAAGGGAAATTGAATAACTTTAAGGGAGACCAACTGCATCATTACGACAAAGATTCACCTAAGATCACTAGCAACTGTTTCTCAATCATAAGCACATATAAGTAGTGTAAAATGTATGGTTTAACAACATACCCCCGCTGATTTTCTATTATATACCCATTGTGTACAAAATATGTGTGGTATGTGATCCGCACAGATTTGCAGCGTAAGCAAGAAATGATGATAAACTGTATAAAGAGAGGTAACTCAGATTGTAAGATTTGCAGCGTAAGCAGTAATGCGTACAGAGTATGTGTGGTATATATGGCAATAAATATTTGAATTTTGAATTGAATTTTGAATTTTGGTATGAAATCTGTACAAATTTGCAACGTAAGCAAAATAATATCAAATCCCACTCTATATATGTGGTAAACAAGGGTGTAATTTATGTATCAGTAAATTAATATTTTAATCTTAACCCGCTGAATTTGTCATCAATGGTTAAAGTTGAAAACGGCATGTATCCATCGTTACACAAGTCTGAGATGATAAACAACACATTGATTTTTTTTTAATCAATTTCTAAACAGTTTATTAATTTAAAAAATCAACGGGGCGTCCGTCGTTACATTGTAATGGGACGGTAAACAAGGTCAATATTCGGGGTTGTATTAAACGAAAATAAGGACATTTTTTTTCTTTTATGAATAGAATATTTTTTATGTGTAAATACATAGAAACTAGTCAGAAATGTATGCTGTATGTGTACTTAAAAGTACTAGGTTTAATTTAAACTAAGATATATAACGTTAGTCTATCGCCATTCATACAAATTTCATCATTCACAGCAAATTTAAAAAAAAATAAAAAAATACGGATTTTTAACGGGGAAAATTCATCCAAATAATTACAAATCAGATATTTATTGTTTTATAGAATAGAATAGAATAGAATATTTTTATTTACCAAATTTATATAACCGGATTAACTATGGAGGGTTTAATTTCACTTGGCACCTTTGTTATGATGGTTTCTAGATTCCCTTTTATTTACGAAGTGCAAAGCAAACGATAAATATTATTGGTTTCTCTCAATAATCACTTAAAACCTTTCTAGTCATGTCACTATTTTAACATTTTGTTCCACTGTACGATTGAATAGTTTAAACTGTATTAAAAAGTAATATATAATGATTACAACCACCAATAAATGTTATCAGGTTCATTAGACTGTGTATAAGGGGATATAGAAACAAAGAGCGGCATCACGAGGAGGATTTGACGAGGAGCGTGAAGAATGGTTTCGAAAGGCGTTTTAATTTTCACAGTTTTGACTGCAACATGCTCAAGTCAAATCATCAGATATAACATCAATCACCATTGTTTTGGTGGGACTGGTGGTGTATTCGAATGTGATCGTTTAAAAAATGGGAGATACATGCTGTCAGGCGAGAATGTGCAAGTGATAATCTTCAATCGGGTGGACAGTGACGTCGAACTTATTATTTCAACCACCAACTTTAAGAAGGAATTGAATCAAATTAAAATCAAAGTAGGATTCTGCCCTCGATTAACAATAAGAGGAAACATTATTAAGCACACCACCATAGAACATGCAAATAAAGAATGTCAGGTGAGTTTTATCATGATTTTTTTTTTTAATCTCCCTATGACAGTAGCCTATGTTAGACAAGATTACATTCAATATCAGTGCACTATGTATTTATTGAAATAATCAATTTATGGAGGTGGTAAAAGGAGGGTTCTGAATACACTAACACCTGAAATAAAAAGCACAGAAACATAACACGAATAAAAGGAAAAAAATAAGTATAACCACTAAAATACAGTTAGATATATAGTGGTCGGGTATGTCTGTCCGTCTGTTCACCTGAATCGGGTTTCTTTTCCAAGAAGGATATGTGCTATTATAATGAAACTGAGGATAATATCATAACAGTATGGAGGCATCATGTCTTTTGTACATAGTGTTGTTTTGTAAGATGCATGTATTTTCATAGTATTTTTTTTTCAGTATGAAACGTCTACAACCACAGTGTCCAGAGACAACAAACGTGACAAAGTACAAATATCAACATATCAGAGCAATCATGGTTCCACCACATCAATCAATAAAAAACATTTTGACTCCACCACAATGTCAGTAAATAACGACAAAAGACAGACCTCTGAGCATACTTCACCTGCACATAGCAGTTCTGCGACAGCGAGGAATGATGATTCCGTCACACCTGTGCACGGTAGTACTTTGACAATGAGAAATGATGATTCCGCCACAATGACAATGTCAGGAAGCAACGAAGGGGACAAAAGACAGACATCTGAGTACCAGCATACAACACCTGTGTCACCAGATACAAAATGTACTTCTACAATTGGGGATGGTCATCATGATCATGAGGAAACAGAAAAGGTGAAAACCTACCTTGTATGGTTAATTACTATCACTGCCTGTAAGTATAATCAAAAGAACTAGGTAATACCAAAATACCAAAATAAGGAAACTTTCAAGAAAGACAATAAATCTGAAGATTAACAATCAATAATCAAGTAACTACAACAGTTGTCATAACTTAACACAGACAAAAAAAAAAAAAAAAATGAGTGTATTAAAATTTATTGGTATCACATAGATCTAGCTGATTTATTTACTTATCATCCTACACCAGTGAAACTGATCATCACAGTCATCACAGTTAACTTTTTGAGCACAACACCAGAAATATATTTTACTTGTTTATATTCTTTATATATGTTTATAACATATTTTGGGGGAAAATTCACAAGTCCAAGAATAGTTGAACTGACAAAAGCCAATGTGTATTTTGGTTGAATTAGAACTCCGCAAATTTATAGCTGAAATATTTTTCAAAAGCTACATTAAAGAACATTTATTAATCAAATACATCATGCAAATTTATTAACAAGCTTAAAATAATGTTTTGTTTCTTTTTAATTTATAGTGTGTGTGGTATTAACATGTTCCACCATAATTTTCTTCTGCTGCCGTGGAACCATACGTGGACGAAACTGTTTTTTAAATTGCTTGTCCAGACACTGTGGATGTTGCTCATGTTATAGAAAACCACCACTCCAACATTATGAATTAAATACTAGCGGATTGAATAATGACCACTCTGATATGTGTATTGATGACAGTGAATTATATAACATTTAATTTTTTTTTGTTAAAGATGCTGCCTTGAACTGGTTTTTGCAACGAATTGGAATCAATATACCAGTCATTATGCCAAATATTCAATTTCATGACCAGCAAATGATGCATAGATATTTAAATCAAAACCCCATCGAAGCCAATCCTAATGCACAAGTCATACAGAATGCACCAAGACATGATCCAAACCCTCAAGCAGTCCCCCAAGCTAATCCTAATGCACAAGTAATACAGATTGTGCAAGCAAGACCTGAACCAAACCCTCAAGCAATCCCCCAAGTCGTACAGAATGCACCAAGACATGATCCAAACCCTCAAGCAATCCCCCCAGCTAATCCTGATGCACAAGTCATACAGATTGCACAAGAAAGACATGAAGCAAACCCTCAAGCAATCCCAGTTCAAAGACAACAAGAACATAATGCTCTAGTTTTAAGGAAATCGACAAGAATGACCAAAGCTATTCAAAGATATGGATTTGGCAATTAAGTACTTTTTGGATATACAAGATTATTGCAATGAATACAATATTACTTCAAATACATCACAAAAAAATACAGCTGGCCAATTTTCATATTGTGAACACTACATTAATTATCAATATGGAATTGTGAGAAAAAGCATTTCAACCTGTGTATACATTAGGTGGTTAAACATGTTAGATGTGCATTCAAATACTGATTTTTATGTACTTTGTTTTTAAATGCTCAAAAATTAACCATGACTCTATGTTGTTGTCTTAATTTTACAGAGTTTTAGGAATTGTTTTATCAAGTTAAGGAATGCTTGACCAAATGTTCATTTTTTAATTTAGTATGCATAGATGTACTAAAAGCACATTACAAGCATAGTTAATGATTGTAACAGTAGATTATGAGTGCATTAGTAATGTTTGTAATATTTAAATTGATTTGTTTTATCATGCTTGTTTTATTTGACAGTGAGTTTTATAGGATTACATTTTATATTAAATTTTTGTAGGGATGAGACAACCCATTTTATTCAATGAGGTGATTTGTTTGTTTGCAACCTTAATGCATAGTTAATTACTGTTTTATTTGACTAGTGAGTTTTACAGGATACAATTTTATATCAATTTTTGTAAAGACTCATATAGTTTATAATTATTGAAATTTACATTCCATTTTTGTTACAATATTCCTATCTTCACATAAAGCAATTTTAGAGGTTCTACCTCATCAATTTCATATCAACTTTCACTAACACTCAAAATAATTATAATCATTGAAATTGTTACTCCATTTTTGCTGTAATATTCCTGTCTCCACATTGTGTTGACTTTTTATACCTTTTACCTCGTCATTTTTACAATGATTTCATATTGCTTATATGAATATTATTAGAAATTTACTGATTCAGGGTAGTTATATGTAGTATCCACTTTTTATTATGTTCACAATGACTTTATATTGATTATTAAAATGGTGCTTATATGAATTTTATTAGAAATTCACTGTTGTTTATTCAGGGTAGTTATTGTTGTATCAACCTCTTATCATTTTACAATGATTTTATCTTGATTATTAAAATGGTGCTTATACAATGCATGATATTATTGAAAATTTATTGTTATTGATTTAGGGTAATTATATGTAGTAGTGATCTTTTTTTATTATATTTACAATGATTTTTTATATTGATTATAACATGTGTGTTTGTATGAATATTATTGAAAATTTATTGTTATTGATTCACCTATGCAGTTAATACTCAGGTTTTTTTATTACTTTTTTTTTTTATAAATTTATTGAATGTTAATGAAATTTTGTCTTGTTACTGTTTACATTGATATTTTTTTTTATTTTTTATTATCAGATTGTAATCATCATAGGTTTGTGCTATAAATAATTGTTTAATTAATGCTCAGATTGGAAATTTTGTTTAAAGCCAAATGCAAATAATCATTTTAATACTCAATCATATACATACTTTTGGAAATTACTATATTAATCATTATTGGAAATATTATAAATTCAAATGCAGACAATCATCTTTATTGCATGCCATTGGAAATTGTCATATTGATTGTTATTGATTATATTTTTTTGTTATATTTTACAATTTTGTTAATCGAACATTAATAAATAAAAAAGAATTGTCAATAATCTTGATTGTCTTCACTTTATAAGTTGTGAAACAACCCAACATTGATACTAAAATATACAGGAGACTAGTTCCTACATTGCATCTTAAATAATTACACATCAAATTATGCAAGGAAAAAAAAAAACATCCAAAAAAGACAAAATCAGTGATCCTCAGCTCTTGACTTTTGACAGGTGTTTAAAACGTCTTGGATAATCAACCATCAAATTATGGGGGCAGAATCTACAAGGGAAATAAAACACTCATATATACAAGTTTGCTGATTAAGAAAATATATACATATATATCACGATCTCATACACATTTCAGGGATATATAGAATCATCTTGTCTCTTCATCTCTCTCTCCCTGTCTGCAAAGTTGCAACTGGACCATCATTTTTGATTATCTTATCTTGATAATGATAAAATTTGTTGACATTGTTCTCTCATTAGATAGTCTATCAAAATAAGAACATATTACATAGGTACAAGTTCAAGGACACAACAAAGGGTATCTTGTATGATGCATTAATGGAGAACAATGAGTTATTGATAGTGTAGAAAGGCTGTGATTGTAGACTATGGAAAAACCTTTTAGATAGAAACATTTACAAACCAGGTAAATTAAAACATACCATTGACGATTGCAGCAGTGTCATTGCTATCTACCTCTGAAATACCAGAATCTTCCTCACTCGGGTCGTTCAAGGAAAGTGATAAAATATCAGAGTCATTGTCACTGACGATGTCGTCACCATCCGGGATGAGGATGGGATTCATTGAAGATCCCAACCGACTGACCTCATCAACAATGATTGGATTTTCAAAGGAACCCGATTGAAACTCAAAAATCATAATGTCTACTACAACATACACACACATTCCATTTGATATCCTCATCGGCTGCAGAACATAACAAAGTTCCATAATGTCAGCTTTATGTTCACCAATATAAATCACAAATGTGTTACAACACCTTTTTCGATTTTCGTATAGTAATAATATTTCATTAAAATGAAAATAGCGTGAAAATAAAACACAGTAGGAATTTTGAAATTACCCATTTAGATTTTGATGAGAAAATGTTTGAAGACCGATGATATACAATTAAAAAATCATTTTTTCACTAGTTTTAGCAAATTACCATTTCTATCAATGGACAATTTAAAGGTTTGGTGATTCTATAGCAATATCTCGAATTTGAGAATTAATAGGTCGTACTTTTTTATATTTAATTCATACAGTTGAAGGTTACACAAAATGAATCTTCATGATTTCAAATTGATCCTGAAAATATGAAAACTGAGAATGACAGTTATTATATTTGTATGTTTATATGCGAACGATCAACTTGAAATTGTCAAAACACTCTTCATAAATGATATTGAAAAATGAATGAAATAAAATCGAAGTTTCATTGAAACTTATCTTTGAACAAAATGCATAACCGGTTCCCGATGTTGAGTTTTGGGTGTCACCAATGAAAGCACATTACAAACACTGGGGGTGTAGTGGATAACCTATAAGAGCGCAGGTCTTGTAGGTTTACCAATGAAAATTTGTGGGAGGTAATGAAAACGTCTTACAAACACTAAGGGTGTAGAGATAAACCAATAACAGCGGATGGGTTCATGAAGGTCCACCAATGAAAAAGTGCGGATATTTCAGATGAAAGAAAATGCTAACGTATAAATATGAGGGTAAAATTAGGATTTTCATCAGTTTTGTAATAACCACATCATACAAAAAGTAAAACAATGAACGGATTAACAACGGTATACGATGGTGCCACCATTTTAAAAGCAAATGGATCCTTTGGTAAAAGTAAGACGGTGACAGTTAACAATTTTGGTGGGGTGACATATGTTCACCTGAGATCACCGAAAAAGGATGCTGCGGGGTGGAATACATTTACCATATCACTGGTAGAATATAGAGAGCTGGTGAAGATGGCGGGACCAAGTACAGTCGCTGCAATAGCGCAGAATTTCGATTTACAGGTAGGCAGGAGACTTAGCTGCTTTACTTCAGTATTATTTTTAATTTTCAATTTTATTTTTATTTTTCTTTTTTTTTTTTAAACTATGAAATTACAGGATGCATGTGAACCCTCAATTTTCTTCGTTTAAATACGTGTTCAAAAAATTGATCCGTGAGTATTGCGATAAATTTGTCTAATATATATATGCAACCGCTTGTTACTTAAAATGTGTGTTGTTATATTGTAGAATAGGGAGAACCGGAACCAGGAGTTAGCAGCTCTGGAAGCAGCTACGGACGACTCTCAACCACCCAAGAGGATGGATGTCTACATCGAATCAGAAGGGGAGGGCACAAGTCCATCCAGACGAAAGAGAAAAGTTTGCAAGGAGTCGGACGAAGAGGAAGTTTTGGAGGAGAAAAGAACTCGGAGGACCGTGATTATCGACTCCGATTGAACATGAGAGTGCTTCTTCTGCAAAAACAATGTATAGACAATATTCATAAAATTATATGTATGGTGCCGGTGTCTTCATCAA